GAAGGAAAGAAGGAAAGAAGGAAAGAAGGAAAGAAGGAAAGAAAGAAAAGACTGGGCCAACAGCCAGACAGGAACTGAATACTGTCAATAACCACATGAGAACTGAAGTGGGTCCTTCCCTATTTGAGCCTTCCAAAGAGACCGCAGTCCTGGCAGACAGCTTTTCTGCAACCTTGTGGGAGTTCCTGAAGCAGGCAAGGCGAAGGAATGCCCAGCCTACTGACATAGAAAGACTATGAGATAATAAATGTGTACTGTTTTGAAGTATTAAGATTGTGGTCATTTGTTATATAACAATAGAAAACTAATACATGTACATTTGGAACACAATTATTTGTCACTGATATTTCTTGAACTCTTTTAACTGATCTATAAAAAACAAAACTTTGGACTTACTTGGAATGTAGAAAATATGCAAATATCCTTTGCTTCCCATCAATTGTATACAGGGTTCAGTTTTTATCAAAATCGGATATTCCATGTGATCTAAGTGGAATAAAGATGTCAATAAATTATTTCCAATAAATAAAGTATTCTAAAATTCAGCCCCCAAACGATACCTTTAGCATTAAAAGTGTATAATGAGAAAAACTGAGGGTGGTTAAAAATATCTCCCTCCCCAGAGCAGTGATGTCAGCAAGAAGGCAGAGTAGGAAGTCCAAGACCCTTCTTCCCCCCACAAATACTCAAATTCAGCAACAATTCATGGACAAATTCCCTTTGGGAGAAATCATAAACTAATTGAAAGTTTCCTATGTCTCAGGAGAACTTGAATCCAGACTCACTGAAGCTGGTAGGGAGATTCAGGACACTCTCTCAACAGAGAGCCTGTGCCCAGCACAGCAAAGTCAGGGGGGGAAATCCACTAGCTTCCAGCTTCACTCAGGAGGGAAAAGGTTGGTTCATACATCCAGACTCCCAAATTTTCCAAGGGGGATCCCCAGAGGACTGAAGAAATAGAAAGCTGAGACAGACCTCAAAGTAGTATGGAGACTGAATAAATAATCAAAATTTTCCCAACAAAGAAAAGCCCAGGACCAGACGACTTCACAGGCAGATTCTACCAAAATTTAAATAAGAATTAACACCAATCCTTCTCAAACTTTTCAAAAAAATTAAAATGGAGGAAACACTTCCAAACTCATTTTATGAGCCCAGAATTACTCTGATACCAAAGCCAGACAAAGACAGCACAAAAAAATAAAACCACAGGTCAATATCCCTGATAGAAATAAATGCAAAAATCATCAACAAAATACTGGCAAGCTGAATTTAACAACACATTAAAAGGGTCATGATCACGTGGGATTTATTTCTTTGATGCAAGGATGGCTCTGTTGAAGGAGAAACTAATAGGCCAGATTTCCCAGATACGAGTGGGTGTGAGGTTCTTGGGGTACCTCTGAAATAAACATTTTCAGAAGCCCCCATGGAAGAATGAGAAGTGGTAAAAGGCTTTATTTGCATGGAGTTACATTTCTCGAGTTGTAAAGTCCCATGCCCCTTAACCCAGTCCTGAAAGAGAGGCAGCTGGGGTCCCAGGAGAACGAAAGCAAGGCCAGTGCCGAGGGTGTCCATTCCATGTTGCAGAGGGTCCAGTTCAGCATTTAGGTTAATTAAAGTCCATCAGTCCATTGTGTGGGTCGCACATGGCCATGAGCCACGTGGGAGAATGCAGGGGAGCACATCCCCTGCAACAGGAGTCACAGAAGCACTGGCAAGCAGGGGAGGCAAGAACCAAGAAAGCAAAAACCAAGAACAGGCACTCCTTTGTTCAGAAGTTGAAATACTCAGGTTTCCTGCCCTTGCAGTGGCCATGCCCATTCTAGCCAATTACCTGTTTCGGGATGTGATTGACAGACAAACACCTTCCCACATCACTCAGACATTATTGAGCATGCATTTAAACTGCTTTTGTGCAGTCCCTTTCCTCATCGATCAGTGGGGAACACACTTGGAGTGTTAAATTAGCAAAGCTGTATAAATGGCATGTCTATATTATCTAGTCTTCCCTTTACTCCTTTCCCGTTAAATACTAACCAGATTATTAGAACTGTATCAGTTCAACAAATGAAAGTCAATCAATATGATACATCACATTAATAGAATGAAGGGTAAAAATTACATAATCATCTCAATAGATGCAGATTGGAGCTATTAAATCACTTTAAACTATGTGTGAGGGGGAAAATACTCCCCAAAACATATTTTTATAAAATTCCTTGTTCCATTTTAGGACTTTTTAACCTGTTGTTTTTTCTATTTTTCTAGTTTTATTGAGAAATAATTGACATACATCACTATAAGTTTAAGGTGTACAGCATGATGGTTTGATTACATATATTGTAAAATGATTATTATAATAGATTCAACTAACATCCACCTTCTCATATAAATACAATAAAAGAAAGAAAACAGGAAAAAACTTTTTCTCCTTGTGATGAGAACTCTTAGGATCTACTTTCGTAACAGCTTTCCTCTATACCATAGAGCAGTGTTAGCCATAGTCATCGTGTTCTGCACATCCCTAGTACTTAGTTACAACTGGAAGTTTGCACCTTTGGACCATCTTCCTCCAATTCCCGCTTCCCCCAACCTGTGCCTCTGATATCTTTTTCTGTGAGGTGTTTTTTTTTAATATTCCACATATAAGTGAGATGATACAGTGTTTGTCTATATCTGATTTATTTCATTTAGCATAATGCCTATAGGTCTATTCATGTTGTCACAAATAGTAGGATTTCCTCTTTTTTATGGATGAATTTTATACACACACGCACACACACACACAAATTCATCCATCAATGGACACTTAAGTTGTTTAGGGGTGACACAGAGAAAAGGCCATATGAAGTCACAGCAATAAGGTGGCCATCTGCAAGCCAAGGAGAAAAACCTCAGAAGGAAACCAAACCTGCTCTCTCCCTTGATCTTGGATTTTCAGCCTCCAGAACCGTAAGAAGTAAATTTCTGTTGTCTGAGCCACCCAATCTGAGCTGTTTTGTTATGGCAGCCCGAGCTGACTGATACATTGTTTATGCCAGTAGCTTGGCCAAGTGGAAGTCATCCACACAGAAAAGACTGAAAAAGGGCCACAGTGATACCTAAAGGAATCGGTGCTTTCCACCCAGGATACACTTTTAGCTGGGTTCTCTGAGGTGGGGGAGTGAAGTGGAGGTGGGGATGGAGGCCAGCAAATTTGCTGTAGCCATGCACCCAGCTTGCCCCCTTCAGGCCTGACATCCATGGGGCAGCAGGGAGGGACCACCAGATTTCTCAGCATTAGAGAGAAAGAGGTAAGATCCTCCAGCAAAAATTAAAAACAAATCAGTTCTAGTCTATGTGGCTCAGTTGGTCGGACGTCGTCCTGTGCACCAAAGGGTTGCTGATTAGATTCCCAGTCAGGGCATGTACCTGACTTGTCTGCTCAATTCCTGGGAGGGGGCATGCAGGAGGCAGTCAAATGATGTTTCACTATCAGATGGATGTTTCTCTCTCTCTCCCTCTCTCTTCCTCTCTCTCTAAAAATCAATAAAAATATTTTTTTAAGAAAAATCAAATTATTGTTACTAGGAGCTTGAAAGCTAATTATTATATGAAGTGTTATATAAATAAAGGCCCTCTGAACCTTAGCACAGAGAAGGTGGCATAATCAACATGTGGGGCCGAGTGGACTGAGGAGCCTTCCTTGAAGCGGTGAATGGACACTGCAGGATGGAGAAATTCCAGAGCCAAGTTGAGAGGGAATTCAGCACAACCCACAAATATGAGAATGGGCTTGCTCTCACACCTGTCAATTATGCTAATTCCCCAGAAGTAATGTTATATTAGCATTTGCCAGGATGTGTTTCTCAAGATAGCCAAAGCACACTTAAAAAATGAAATACAATTGAAAATCAGGAGCTTATAAATAGGTTTCTTCATTGCAGAACTTCTCAGAACTTAACATGCATTTGTAATTCTCCTCCAAATGATTAAACCACAAATCCCCTTTCCCAAAAAGAATGTTAAAGCACTAATATTTTGGTAAGCCTCCCTTTCAGCCTTTCTGATATCACATCCAACCCTTGGTGAGCAACGCAGTGGAGAGTACCAAAGAAAACTGTGGTCAAGCCCTGAAGCTGCTCTTTCAGAGAAAGGGTGGGGCTGGGCAGTGATACACCAGTTAATGGCATTAGGGTAGGACTGATTTTTTAAAAAGTGATCCAGCCCAGCCGGGCGTGGCTCAGCGGTTGAGCCTAGACCTAGGAATCAGGAGGTCACGGTTCGATTCCCACTCAGGGCACATGCCTGAGTTGCAGGCTCAATCCCCTGTCAGGGGGTATAGGAGGCAGCTGATCAATGGCTCTCTCATCATTGATGTTTCTCTCTCCTTCTTCATTCCTCTCTCTGAAATCAATAAAGATATATATTTTTTTTAAAAAAGTAAACAAGACTGTTTCTATCTATCTCTGTGCTAAAAATTTTACCTCACACCAATTCTTGTAAAATAGGTTCTAAAATCACTTTCATTTTACAGATTAAAAAACTGAGACAGAGAGGCTAAGGATTTTGCTCAAGGTCACGCAGCTAATAAATGGCAGAACCAGGCTTATATCCAATTAGGAGTCCTCAAAAATCACAGCCTAAAACACAGAGCACCACAGAGCACCCACCCCATTACACTCCAACACTGTGCTGAAAAAAATACAGCTTACAAGAGTGATCTTCAACCTTTTTCATCTCACGGCACACAGAAGCTAATTACTACAATCCTGCGGCCCTCCAAGAAATACACTTTTTGCTAATCTGACCCAAAAAAGGAGGTATAATTTTAATTCATTTATATCAGAAGGCTGTTGTTGTGTTGGCTGTTGTCATTTTTTTTATTTGACAGTCTAAGGGAAAAGAGGTCAGTGATCCTGACTAAAATAGTCAGGTACTGCATGTTTTAAAAATTCTTGCGGCACACCGGTTGAAAATCGCTGGCTTAGAGCAATAATCAATTCCAGGAGGCAGCTAGGACCATTCTTCCTTTTCAAAAAGAACCAGTCTTGTGGCTGGAGACAAAAGCTCAGAGGCAGACAGTTCTGCCAAAACTGGAAGGAATCTGAAACTTGGGCTTAAGGTGGAGAAAGCTGGCCACCCAGAACAACAGAAGCAGCTGGAGGTCAAGCACAACAGTTTAGGTTAACAACTGGTGAGGTCTGTGAAGTATCGAGATAACCCACACAGGGAAGTCACCAGCCATCACCCTTGCTGCCAGCAGCAGCTGGAACACGTGATCATTTCCTATGCCCCAGCCACAGCAGAGTGAGGTTCTTGTGAAAACACACCCTCGAACTAGTTGCCGCTACAACCACTTGTTGCTGTGCACTTACCGCAATAAGTGTACCAAAAGGTCAAATCAGAGGAGTTGCAGATCCAGTGGGGCTCCCTGGGTTCAGTACATGTGGAAGAAAACAGCATGGAAAAGAGCATAAGTGGAAACATGATTTAATATCTCCAAAACTTTAGAAATGCAAGGAGAATCAGTAACTCATCCTCAGGCTCTTCCCTTTCAGTAAGCAGAAAAAATTCACTTAGTCATCAGTCACATGACTTCTAAGTTCCAATCCAACTGTTTCCTCTTTTCTGTGTGTGTGTGTGTGTGTGTGTGTGTGTGTGTGTGTGTGTGTAATATTTGAGTATTTCCTGCAAGGGGAGAGAAGAAAATGATTTAGAATATACTCTTTTCCAACACTTGATGCAAAGGAGAGCACAGAGCTTTAAAAACAAAACAAGGTATTTCCCAGTCAACAGTAACAAAGCTAGCCTGTAGGTCTTCTTTAGGATCCCAACTGACAACACCCCTTTTTCATCTGCATTGCGATTCTCCCTCACAGGCTCTTTAGACAATTTCTCACAGTGCCCAGAGTGTTGGGTGAATAGATCTGAACCGAATCGTCATATGCACACTATTTCTGCTCAGCAGCGGTTCAGCCGTGGGACAGAGCCGGGCCAGATGAGAACCCAGGCACACCACCAGCTTGTAGTTCTGCACTGTGGGCTGGGGGCCCACCAGGCTTGAGAAGCCACTTCCTTATGCAAACTGAAGCTCCAGGACGTATTTTGAGCCCTAACAACAGAATGATCACTAGCTTGTGTGTGGCATGTACTGTATTTCATTTCAAAACTCTTACTCCATTCCAGAAAAACAAGTGATCCTTTAGATTCTTTGCTCCTTAAAGTTGTTTATAGGATATAGTTTGGGATTACAATGGCCTGGAGTTGGGGCCTAAAGATCTACAAGTTTAGAGGGAAATAAGCACATGTTGGTAAAAGGTTTCAAGAACTGTGTGACTTTACCATTTTTTAAAAGGCAAAAATCCAAGGGGGAGGAGGACATGGGGAGTTGCTCAATGGATAAGAAGTTTCAGGTTTGCAAGATAAAAATGTTCTAGAGATCTGTTGCACAACAGTGTAAATATAGTTAACACTATACTGAACTGTACTAAACTGCACGCTTAAAATTCGTTAAGATGGTAAATTTTTGTTATATATATATATATACTTTTTACCATAATTTAAAAATATGGTTCAGTTGGTTGAGCATCATCCCAGGCACCAAAAGGTCTCCAGGTAGATTCCAGGTCAAGGCACAGGCCCAGGTTGCAGGCTCAATACCCAGAAAGACGCAGTCGAATGTTTCACTCTCGCATGGATGTTTCTCTCCCTCTCTCTCTCTCTTTCTCTCTCTCTGTCCCTTTCTCCCTCCCTCTCCCTTCTTCTTTTTCTAAAAATCAATAAAAACATATTTTTTTCAATAAAAAGTTTGTGGGGAAAAGGAGGAAAAGCCCCATGAATGCTCCTAGTGGTCTCAAAATACCATTTCCCACTAAAAGGAACAAAGATTGAAGAAACTGCTGATTCCAGGTCTGGGGCAGAAAACGTAAAAGATGAGCCTGAAATACCTTATCATCTTAGATAACTAATTTGAAAACGGTCCCTCTGACCAAAGATGGGTTTCCTATTGCCGCTGTAACAAATAACCACAAATTTAGGGCTTAAAAAATTACGAATGCATTCCTTACAGTTCTAGAGGTGAGAAGTCTGAAATCAGTTCCCCTGGGTTCGAGTCACAGTGTCTGCAGATTCGGTTCCTTCTGGAGACTAGAAGAATCCATGTCCCTGCCTTTTTCAGCTTTGAGAGCTACAGTCCTTGAACTCCTTCATCTTCAAAGCTCAGCACTCCTATCTCTGCTTCCATAACTACATCACCTTCTCCTCTGTCTCCAGGGTCATCTTAGAAGGTTCCCTGTGATTATGCTGGAGTTTTTTGGATAATACAGGATAATCCTCCCAACTCAAGATCCATCTATAAAACCCCTTTTGCCGTGTAATGTAACATCTCGGGGGACCATTATCCAGTCTACCTGTAGGCTACATGGACATTAAGATAGTAATTTCAATGCATTGAAATACATCAAATATATTTAAATCCATGAGCTCATAATTTCTTAAAGTCTAATTAATCATCAGATGATACTAGGAAAGCAACTCTATTTTGTAAACAGGTAAATAAAGGGAAAGAATCAAGCACTTATCCTAATTTTTTTCTGCAGAAAATGAACTACTGGTGACCAGATCACAGCAGCAAGTTTTCCGTGCCTTCTCATCCTCTGTTCTCTACTTTTCTAAGTATTTCAGCTATTTATCAAAAAGGAATAATAAATATAAATAACCATTTTGCAACACCTAATGAATTAGTAAACTTAGGCATTGGCCATTACAGACAGAAAGGCATTGTGTACCTCTTGATGGGTGACCACTGTGGTGGGCAGCCTCTAAGATGACTTTCAATGACCTTTACTTCCCCAGATGCAAGTCCTGTGTCATCCTCTCCAACAATGAATAAGGCTGACTGTGTAACTAATAAAGTATTGCACAATGACAATGTGCGACTTCCAAGATAGATTATAAAAGACATGCGGCTTCCACTCTCCTGATCAACTGCTCTGGGGGAAGCAAATAGCCCTAAAGAGAGAGCCACGTAGTGAGAAACTGATGCCTCCGACCAAAGAGCCAGCACAGACTTGTCAGCCACGTGAGCGAGCCATCATGGAAGCACATCCTCCGCCCCAGTTCAGCCTTCAGATGACAGCAGCACCAGCTATCTTGACTGAAACCTCATGGGCAAACCTGAGCCAGGCCATTTAGCTAAGTCACTCCTGAATACCAGACCAGCAGGCATTGTGCACTATTACATGTTTATCTTTTTTATTTTTTTTACTTTTTTCATTTTTTAAAATTAAATTTATTAGGGTGACATTGGATAATAAGATCACATAGGTTTTAGGTGGAGGTTTTTATATATTGCACTGTGTGCCCACCACCCAAAGTCAAATCTTCTCCTATCACCATATATAGGACCCGCTCTAACCCCCATCCCCTTCCCTCTGGTAACCACCACTCTGTTGTTTGGGTCCATGAGTTTCAGTTTTATAGCCCACATGTGAGTAAAATCATAAGTTTCTTAGCTTTTTCTGACTGACTTATTTCACTCAGCATAATATTCTCAAGGGCCTTCCATGTTCTTGCAAATAGCAGTGTTTCATCCTTTCTTATGGCTGAGTAGTAGTCCATTGTATATGTCCCACACCTTTTTATCCAGCCCTCTATCGCAGGACCTTTGGTTGTCTCCATGTCTTGGCCACTGTGAATAACGCTACAATGAACATAGGGGTGCATATATCTTTGAGAATATATGTGTTCAAGTTTTTTGGGTATATACCCAGGAGAGGGACTGCAGAGTCATATGGTAGCTCTATTCTTAATTTTTTGAGGAATCGCCAGACTGCTTTCCATAGTGGCTGTACCAGTCTACATTCCCACCAGCAGTGAATGAGGTTACCCTTTTCCCCACAACCTCTCCAACACTTGTTATTGCTTGTCTTGTTGATAACAGCCACAAGGTGTGAGGTGGTATCTCACTGTAGTTTCAATTTGCATTTCCCTAATTGCTAGTGAAGTTGAACATCTTTTCATATATCTATTAGCTGTTCGTACATCTTCTTGGGAAAGGTCTGTTCAGATCTCCTGCCCACTTTTTGATTGGGTTGTTTGGTTGGTTGGTGTTGAGTTTTACAAGTTCTTTATTTTTTAAATTAAACCTTCAAGGAGCTAGTGTTTGCAAATACCATCTCCCATCTGGTTGGCTGCCTCTCTGTTTCGTTCCATTTCATTTGCTGTGCAGAATCTTTTTAGTTTGATATAGTTCCATTCATTTATTTTTGCCTTTACTCCCCTTGCCTTTGGGGTCAAGTTCATAAATGTTCTCTACGCCCAAGGTCCATAAGTTTGGTACCTGTTTTCCTCCATGTAACTTATTGTTTTGGGTCTTATGTTTAGGTCTTTGATCTATTTTGAGTTAGTTTTTGTTCATGGGGGTCTAACTGTAATCCAGTTTCATTCTTTTGCGTGTGGCTTTCCAGTTTTCCCAGCACCATTTACGAAGAGACTATAATCAATTGTGTCTTTCTGGCTCCTTTGTCAAAAATTATCTGCCCATATACATATGGTTTTATATCTAGGTTCTCTATTCTGTTCCACTGATCTGTGTTTCTCTGCCAATACCATGCTGTTTTGATTATTGTAGCTCTGTAGTATACTTTAAAGTCGGATAGTGTGATATCTTCAGCTTCATTCTTTTTTCTTTGGCTATTAGGGGTCTCTTGTGATTCCATACAAATCTGATCATTTCTCATTCCATTTCTTTAAAAAATGACATTGGCATTTTGATGGGGACTGCATTAAATCTGTATGTTGCTTTGGGTAATGTGGCCATTCTAACTATGTTGATTCTTCCAATCCATGAACACAGGATATTTTTCCATTTTCTTGGGTTTTTTCCAATCTCTGTTAATGCTGCTTTGTAATTTTCAGTATATGGGTCTTTCACATTCTTTGTTAAGTTTGTTTCTAGGTATTTTATTCTTTTGCTTGCAACTGCAAAAGGAACTGTGTGGGGGTTTTTTGAAATTTTGTTGTTGGTATATAGGAAGGCAATGGATTTTTGTACATTGACTTTGTATCCTGTAACTTTACTGTATTTATTGTTTAACAGTTTTTTGGTGAAGTCTTTAGGGTTTTCTATATACAGAATCATGTCATCCACAAAAAGTTAAGTCTTACTTCTTCCTTCCCTACTTGTCTACCTGTTATTTCTTTCTCTTGCCTGATTGCTCTGGCTAGGACTTCCAGAACTATGTTGAATAAGAGTGGTGAGAGTGGACATCCTTGCCTTGTTCCTGATCTTAGAGGAAAAGCTTTCAGTTTTTCACCATTGAGTATGATGTTAGGGTTTATCATAGATGGCCTTTATTATGTTGAGGTACTTTCCTTCTATTTCTATTTTATGGAGTGTTTTAATCATAAATGGATGTTGTATCTTATCACCAAATGCTGCTTCTGCATCTATTGATAAGACCATGATTTTTTGCCTTTCTTTTGTTAATGTGGCATCTCTTACTTTAAACCTCAAAGTTTAAGGGGCAGTTTTTTACGCAGCAACCCATAATACAAACAACATAAACTATGAATTAGTCTTGTCCAAAACAATCAAACCTCAATCTGATGAAGCCTCAAGCCTAACTACCAATTTATAGGAAATACAGAAGACAGAGAAATATGTCAAATTACACCTTGAGGGTACAATCAGAAAATCTAGACCATGAAAACATGTAAAGAACAAACAACAGTTTCTTCAACAGATAACTTGCAAGGAGGGGGGAAAGGTGGGGAAAAAAAGGGCCCATAATTTGAAGTCATAAAGTGTCAAAAATTGGTGACTAACACCCGGCCAGTGTGGCTCAGCAGTTGAGCATCGACCTACGATCCAGGAGATCGAGGCTCAATTCCCAGTCAGGGCACATGCCTGGGTTTCAGGCTTGATCCCCATAAGGGGAGCACAGGAAGCAGCCGATCAATGACTCATCATTATCTCTCTCGCTCTCCCCCTCCCCGTTGCTCACTCTGAAATCTATTAATAAAGACATATATTTTTTAAAAATCAGTGACTAAGGTGTGAACTTTACTTAGATCTTAATCCAAACAAAATGGGGGATGAGGGAAGATTATAAAACAATTGGATATTTGAACAGACTAAATATTTTATAACATTGGGGGAGGTGGTTTAGGTATTATAATGGAATAGTAGTCATATTTTTTAAGCTCTCACCTTGTAGTGTTACAAAATTAAAGTTATGACGTCTGAGATGCTTCCAAATAAAAGTAGAGAGCAAGTGGTGGAGTCTAGAAATAATATTGGCCAAAAATTGGTCATTTTGGCTCCTTGTCCACTTACACTTCTGAATGTTTGAAATTCTCAGTGAAAGAAAATCAACAACAAAAGTAAAGTGTTCTGAAAAAAATCAATATAATTTTAACAATTGTTTCCAAGCTAAGGCTATTATTCATGCCCATTTGTTACTGGTTCTCAAAAGCTGCAGTGTTACATTATAATGAACTCTACATTGAGAAAAAGGATTATAATACATTTTATTGTCCAAGGGTATATTATCTGATGTAACCTAGATGTCAGCTGGGATCACCCTGCCTTTTGAGACTCAAAACTGACTCAAAGCCCTTCACACACACAGTGGGGGACACACCACGTTCCCAATCTTTCCAAGATCATTCTGCCTGGGATTAGGGTAGTGAAGTGGCATGGAGAGATGTGCGTATACTCCTCCTTACCTGGGCCCGAGTTCTTTCTGCTGACTTTGTTGATGACTCATGTTATCCTCTGCATGCTGATCCTTTTGAGAAATCATCTTTCTCATTCATCTTTTAAGCTATTTTCTTTTTCCTGAACCAAATTGTCTTCTGAAGAATCATTCTGACACTAACAAAAATAGATTTTTCACTCCGTTACACAGGTGACAAAATGGTTACATGGATAGAGGACATTTAAAAAAAGGTATAATGTACTCAAAACAAATTATGATGCACATGACCCTTAGAAAACTTTTAAAATGTTAACGATGCTGTGTAGGGTTTTTTAGAACTAGGCATTTTTTCTTGCTTCTACTTTCCAGTATTTTATAATGAGCAATTTGATGTAATAATTTTTTATAGAAAGATATCAATCACATTAACTATAGGACAGCAACAAGTATGTATTATGTAACACGGGACAGAACAGGCAAGCAGAGACCCAACCTGAGGACAGAGATGGCGCCAACTTCTTCATCTTTCTGAGACCCAGAGCCCGCCTCCTGCTGGGGAGATCCTACTGGAAGACGGGCTCTGGGTCTCCGAAAGATGAGTACTGTTCTACCTTAAGCTGTAAGACTTGAATGATCTTCCCTAAGAACTAGTGATGGCCCTGCTGCTTCTCCATCAGCCCCCCTTGCACAGAGGCAAGCCATGAAGATTAGATTTACTGCCTTGACAGCAGTGACATTAGGCAGCTCCATACAGTCTGGGTGTTTCGTTCTTAACTGTGACTCTGGCAACTAGCACAGTACCCGGCACACTCTAGGCACTTAATAAGTATCTACAGATCTAAATAGCATTGTTCGAGGTCTTTTGTTCCTGGCTGAAAATCCTTCACGGGAACCAACTTTTATTTTACAATTAGAGGTAAAAATCTTAAAATGCCAATATTTAGTTAGCACAGAGATTGCTATTTTATAAAATGTACTATCCACCTACTTAGTACATGTGCTCTTCCTACTGAGATGGTGTTAAAGGGAGGAGTGCACGAGGGACAAATGGGACCACAGAACACAGAACTGCTTAGGTCACCATTTCCCCCATAGCTGACGACACGGAGAACCTTACTATGTACGGGAAGCCTTGCCAGAGAAATGAGGCAACGAGCTGTGTACTAAACCAAAGACAGCAGATTAACACTGCTTTCCAGAATATGTAAATTTTTAAAAATAGTTTTTAACGTGAGAAAAGATAGTATCTATACACTTATAAAAATCCAAACACAAAGGAAAAATAACTCCCTTATGTATCTGACACCAGATCCCCAGCTGAGAGGCAACCACACTTATCCATGCATATGCCAGCATGCACATGTATTGTCACACTTTTTTAAAACACAAATGGCAGAGTATTATGTTTTGTTTTTCAAACATAGCTTATTATAAAAGAACATAATTCTCTGAAAATTAATCAAAAATTGTTTGCTACAGTTTCAAGTTATTTTTAACAATGTCACTAACAGAAAACAAAAGTAAAGGCAATTTTATTATACATGGGAAAATAAATCACATTTAAGCACAAACATAAAAACAACAGGCTCATTTCTCATCTTCAAGCTGTTTCTTTTCACTGGTTTCTTCCATATCAAAAGTGAATGGTTTGTCATAACCCATTAGATGATCATAGTCTTTGGAGTTTGGAAAGAGACCTGGATTAACTAACAGTGATTTTGTTTTAGCATAAAATGTGGTAAACACATGTGTGCTGTTTGGAATCTTCACGTCACTCTGGTGAAAAACGGTACTCGTTTCTGAAAGCAAAACATTGTAAGTAATGGCTTTGTAAGTGTCTGTAGTGGCCTCATGGTACAACCGAATGACATAGCCTTTTGTAACAAAGTGAAGCAGGACTGGAGTGACCACTGTAAAGCTGCCTATGATGCCATAAAATAAGATTTGCAAAGGCAGACTCCCAAATACAACATTATTTTGTGCAAAAATGTATGGTAGAAAGGCAAGGCTGATCGCACTTGTAGAATAAGAGAAACATTTCACACCTAAATAGAAAAAAAAAAGGGAGAGGATTAATACTTTTACATTGTATAAAAGAATCAATCTATCCAATTAATTTTCCACCTTTTTCTTTACTATATCATTATTAAAACTACAACAAAATCAAAATACATATAACTGTTAAGTCATTCCAGGCTCTGTCTGAAGCACTCTACATATTGTTCATGAGATCTATAGAAAGCCCTGTAACATACATGCACAATTATTATCAGAGGTAGCTTAAGAGATGAGGAAAATGAGGCGCTTGCTCAATGTCACATAGCTACCAAGTGGCAGTGCTGGGACTCAAATCCAGGCCATGAGACTTGCGTCCAGGTCATTGGCCATTCTAATGCACTGCCTCTCTAAAGTGGAAATCAGCTTTAGTGTTAACTGGCCTCTACTTCAGTTCCCCAACAAAAGATTTAATATTACCCAAAGATCCTCATGACTACTACAAAAATCAATTCAGTCAGCACCTTATCAAATAAAACTCTATTAACAAGCACTTGCACGTATCTAATTTAAAATCTTCAAATGTGGGGCTAACTTTACAAGCTAAGTTACACTTAGGAGTAAAACAACAAATTACCAAATATAAAAAATAAAAATAACACCAGTAGGTAAGAAATATATGGGAAAGGTATTCAACTTATCATGTTAGAAAGATTCAAATCAATGACTTCTGAACTATATACTTAAAAATGGTTAAAATGGTAAATTTTGTTATATATTTTACTACAATAACTAAATAAATGACTTTAAATGTAAATTTCTTAGTTTGAATGTACACTTTTAACTTAATCCCAATAAAAATACCATGTTTGGAAAATAGACAAGTTGAGATTATAAAGTTAATTTGGAAAAACAAAAGGAGCATAAATAAAAATGGAGGGGGTGTTAGATAATAAAACGTAAGACTATAATTAAAATAGCATGGTACTACCCTGGCTGCTGTGACTCAGTTGGCTGGAGTGTTGTCCCGTACACCAAAAAGTCTCGGGTTTGATTCCCAGTCAGGGCGCATACTTAGGTTGTGGGTTTGGTCCCAGGTTGGAATGCGTGTGAGAGGCAACCTATCAATGTCTCTCTCTCTCTCCCCTTTCCTCTCTCTAGTATATGAGAATAAAAAGACCAACACTGTACACAAACATGCAGGGAATATAAGCAGACAGTTCACTGAAACAAAAATGCACATAGTCCTTAAACAGATGAAATGATGCTAAACCTCAATCATATGAAACATGCAATAAAAACCACAATGAGATACCATTTTGCCCCAAACTGGCAAAAACCAAAAGTTTGACAATATACTCTGTTAGTGAGGCCTTAACAAAGCAGACACTCTCATACATTGCTGTTGGTTGAAGGCTTAATTATCCTGCATCAGTAATTTAAAAATAATTCCTTCCTCCCACAGTAGTTGCCATGACACTGGTACACATGGGATACAATGTGGATCAAGCTGCCTCCAATATAAAAGCCTCCTCAGCCCTTCCAATTACCTCTTTTATCCCTATTACATTTGTCACAGTGTAGTGGGTTGAACAGCATCCCCCCAAATTTATGTCTACCCTGAACCTCAGAATGTGAACTTATTTGGAAATAGGGTCTGTGAAGACAATTAAATATTGAGATGAGATCATACTGGATTAGGGTGGGCCCTAAATCCAATGAGAGTATCCTTATAAGGACAGAATAGGACAGACACAGAGAAGGGCTTGGGAAACAGAATGCAGAGATGAGTTATGCAGCAACAAGCCAAGGTACACAAAAGTATTGCTGGGAGCTACCAGAAGCTAGAAGAGGCAAGGAAGGTTTCTTCCCCAGAGCCTTCATAGAGAGCATGGTCCTGCCAACACTTTGACTTCAGACTTCTAGCCTTCAAAACTGTGAGAATAAATTTCTGTTGTTTTTAAGCCACCAATTTCGTGAAAATTTATTACAAGAGCCCTAGAAAACTAACACACACATACACTTTATTTTGCCTGGATTGAAGTAATTGCTATTTTTTAAACATATTCTAAGAGCATCTGATATCTTGCTCCCTGGCATGAGTTTGGCTCAAATAAACTCTTATAAATTTCAAAAATAAAAAAGAAATGAACATATTCTAGGCTTTCCCATCTTCCTGCCTTTGCTCATACTACTTCCACGCCTGGGATGCCCTTCTTTCACACCTCTTCATGTTTAAATTCTATTCATCTTAAAATGAGAATACTATAACATCAGTAATTACTTGTTGCTAAATTAACAAAAACTATTAACTAAAAGGCTCTTCAAATGTCTTTAAACTAGGACCCATTTGGTAGTCTGAAGAACCTCCAGAATGGTACCTGTATAACTTTATGTCTCTCACGTAGTTTTACATAGAAAAAAATGTTTCTCCCCGTTTCTACACAGAAAAAATATTAACCTGTGGTAAGTATATAGAGTGACTTTCCATTATCATAATACTGAAAGAAGTCGAACATTAAATTCCTCTACAAGTTATAATTTTAGAACTTTGAATAACCCGGATAGCTATGCTCTTCCACAAATATTATATCCTACCCATACCAAAATTAATTCCTACTAATAGTCTCTTCTTTCTAGAATGAAGTCAAACGGGAACATTAGATAAATTAATAACCCTTGCTGCATTTGAAGGAACAGTGACTGTGTTCAGCAGGAAGGGTACAATGGGGATCACTGTTAATACAGCTCAGTGGCATCAATCCAGGTATCCAAGGCCAGAGATGTGACAGAGCACAGGCTCAATGGCCTAGTCATGTATTGACTTCTGAAGAAATATTTATCCATTCAAAATTGGTTATTGCAATCAATAACATCAGAACTCCACTCAATAGTGATAGTAACCTGTCGTTATTCCTAAAAAGTTTTAAATAGCTACAACTGTACTTTACATGTACTCTATTTTAATGTCACACACTTGAGAACTTACAGATTTCCAGAGTAAATTTTAGATGATTGGTTGATACGAGCATGATCAAAAACACAAATGCAAGCAATGGCCTGGTAGCTCAGTAGATTAGTGTGTCATCCTGATGCACCAAGGTTGTGGGTTCAATCCCTGGTCAGGGCCCATACAAGCAACAACCAATGAATGTATAAATAAGTGGAATAAATCAGTGTCTCTCTCTCCCCCCTTCCTCTCTCTCTAAAATCAATCAATCAATAAAAATTACTTTAAAAAACACAAATGCCTATGTGGGTGCTGAAATCTTATGTGGGCTGGCCAGGTGTGGCTCAGCGGTTGAGCATCTATGATCCAGGAGATCGTGGTTCTATTCCTGGTCAGGGCACATGCCTGGGTTTCGGGCTCCATCCCCAGTAGGGGTCCTGCAGGAAGGAGCTGATCAATGACTCTCTCATCATTGATGTTTCTCTCTCTCTCTCCCTCTCCTTTCCTCTCTCTGAAATCAATAAAGATAGATTAAAAATATATATATTATGGTAGACTTAGCTATAAAAATAATCCTCCAGCTCTAGCCTGTTTTGCTCAGTGGTTAATATCAGCCTGCGGACTGAAGGATCCCAGGTTTGATTTCGGCCAAGGGCACGTACGTTGGTTGCAAGCTCCCCTCTCTGTCCAGTTGGGGCGCATTCGGGGGGCAACCAATCAATGTTTCTCTCACATAGATGTTTCTCTCTATCCCTCTCCCTTCGACTCTGAAAAGCAATGGAAAAAATATCCTCAGGTGAGGATTAAAAAAAAAAAAAAAATCCTCCAAATAGTTCAGCTTATACTCTTTAAATTTATCTTATTTTTCTTAAAAAAAAACATGTACCAATGGCTAGTATGTTTCTTTTCTTTTTTTAAATATGTTTTTATTGATTTCAGAGCGAGAAATGGAGGGAGATAAAGAAACATCAATGATGAGAGAGTCTCCTGCACGCACCCTACTAGGCATCCAACTTGTAACCAAGGTTTGTGCCCTTTGGCAGGAATCAAACCTGCGACCCTTCAGTCTGAGGGCCAGCACTCTAACCACTGAGCCAAACCAGCTAGGGCTAACCATGTTTATTGAAAATTCTAAGATTACCTGAAAAAATGTAAAAGAAAGTATTATGTGCTCATTTTAACTGCCAAATTTTAAAATATATGCAATAAATATCTATTCCCCCAAAATAACTACTCTTCAGAGGTATTCTTCCTTTTTTATTATCTGTATATTCAAATGTTACACAAATATACACTTTTTGCTGTTTTATTCTGTTGTTAAACACCCCAAGGGGTGACCAAAGGAAGGAAGCTTTACCCAACAGTAAGATCACAAAGTCATAATAGTCTTCAAAAACCTATTTTAGCCCTGGCTGGGTGGCTCAGTTGGTTGGAGCACAGCTCTGTACACAAAAAGATGGCAGGTTCAATTCCCAGTCAGGGCATATACCTTAGGTTGCCGGTTTGATTGCCAGTTGGGGTGAGCGTGGGAGGCAACTGATTGATGTTTCTATCCCTCCCTCTCTCTATCCCTGTCTCTCTCTTTCCCCCCACTTCCTCTCTAAAAAAGTCAATAAAAACATATTTTTTAAAAATCAGTTTTAAATCTAAACATGCAAAGGTATCAACCTTTAAATCTTGTATCAACAGGCCACAAGAAAAAAAAATTATAATCTAATTTTTCCTTAGTTCTTATAATTAAGAGATAGTAAAATAACACAGGCTAAGAGCATTTTTTTTTTTTACAATTAAAAGGACAAAAAATACAATACCCTCATTTCTAATTACCCACCAAATACTGTTCGAGCCAGATTTCCAGTATAAATTAGTCTTCCATCTTCTGATTTTTCAACTTGTGTGTGTAAGCATCGAACACATCTTTCCCAACAAACAGGAATCTATTGAAATAGAGACCTCTATAAGTTAAGTACATAATAAATTGCATTTAGACCAACTTTTAAGTTAAGAAAAAAATTTTTAAGATAATGAAAAGAGAACTTGTCACATGAGGTGATTTAAGGAATTCTCCCAAATAATCTACAGAGCTAAGAAAATCAAACTGGCTAACAGAATGAATTTCCTTAATTCCAGTCATAAGTACACAAGCTGAGCTGGAGTTTGAAGACCTAGGTTTGCATCCCAGCTCCAAGCTTTTTAAATAGTGTGACCATGAACATGTAAAAAGTTTACTGGAATAGTTTCTTCTATTTCACTGTTAATAAGAACTTCACTCCCATTTGATTGTCAAAGATTTACACACATTTGCTCTTCAAAAACTAAAATTAGTTTATGTAAGTAAAACACTGAAAAACCAGATTATGTAAAGTCCAGACCATTTTAGTACTTCTAAAATATTTATACTATAGCTAGTACCAAAACAAACAAACAAAGTAACTCTCTAAAGAGAGTATCCATCCCTTGTTCCTTGTAAGGAAACTATTTTACTTGAAATCCACATCAAATTTCATGGAAACAAGGGTCCCCCGAATATCTGAAAATGAATTTCACCGCACATATACTTCAAAAGGCATGCCTAATTCCTTTATGCTAAAATATAATTAGATTCCAATTCCCATGTTAGGCATTTCCTCCAAGTTTCAACCAAGTCTGCTAATCCGGATATTTCACAGGGCAGGATTAGAAGACAATTTACTCAGGTTAAAATGAGAAGTTTAACCTCTCCATCCCCTTTTCCCAGGGAACAAGATATTTCCTAAAATAGAAGAACCTAAAAAAAATAATGCTTGGAACCACCCAGAGAATAACCATTTTCCAAAGGATGTTACTGGACTCGCGGGCACCGAGCCCCCGGGACCACTGGCTGTTCCCGAGGCGGGGCCTGCGACTCCTGGGGACCTGCCGAGGGCTACAGCCACCGGCAGGCGTGGGGCGCTGTCGGAGCGCCAGGGCTCCCCAGACAGGACGCTACGCCCACTTCCCACCCTTCCTCGGGCGAGCAAGCCCTCGACGGCGCACCTGCGCTGGCACCGGACGCCGGAAAAGCAGCGCGGCTCCCCGAACCCCAGCGCTCGGGCCGCCAACCAGCCCTGAGGAGCCGCCGCAGGAGGCCGCCCGGGTGACGGCTGTCCTGGGCCCTCGGAGCGCGGTGGCCGCCCACAGCGCCGCCCTCTTCCCGCGGAGACGCCGTGCGGCCGCCCACTGGCCGCCCCACGCCAAAAGCAGCATTCCGCACGAGTGAAGTGGTGAGGGCCGGCGCCGCGGGAAGAAACCCCNTCCTCACTCCACTACGGCCTGCGCTGGTCGCGCTCGCCCCGCCCCTGGAAGCCCACCGGGCCGGATTGGCCGCCGCAAGTGCGCGGAATATGCGGCCCGCCGGCAACCTTCGCTCCGTCGCGCACGTTCCCTGCCTGCGGAGCTCCGACGCCGCGACACCGACCCCTGGCTGCACAACCCGCCCCCGCCCGGCCTGCGCGCCGGGCTTCCTCGTCCCGGAGCCGGCGGCCCGCCGGACAGCGTAGGACTGAGGGCAGCGCCGCGCACGGAGGACAGCGCCTGGCGGCCAGGGTTAAACCTTTCATTCTTGTGGGCATCATTTTCTAGGCCCAAAAACTATTTTCTTTCCGGAAAATTATTCTAGCCTGTTGACATAGAGAAATAATACTGTCTACGATTTGAACAAAAGTGAATGGTAATTTAATGCAACCAGGGATGGAGAGAAAAATGAATGGAACTCGTTCACAGAGTATACGTGTTAAATTTGTCTTGGGGAATCAGTCTCAGCCATATAAACACTGGTTCACTACTAGTTAAAGTGGTTAAGCGTCTACTGTAAGGACTAAGTTAGGAGCAGAGGATACAAAGATACTGGATATCATTGGGAATCCACAGTACTCACATAGTGGAGGAAACACCTATAAATAAGCTAAAATATAATGTAATATAATTTAAAATAGACCAGTTCACAAACGGCTACAGAAGCCCATACAACATCATGATTAATTTGGCCTCAGAATGTCTAAAGGCTTCATGTTCAGCTCAGTCTTGAAGGATGAGCATCCAACTAATAAAAGCACACTTTTGTTACTATTTGAGAACTGTTTTTGACTCAACATGTTATTTGCATAAGAGAAGAACCAGCTAATAGTCTTAAATAATGTGACCTTGGCAATTCCAAATCCTGTCTACTCTTTTCTGGGTACCCAGAAGGGTAAAATTATACTACTCCTTTATGAATAACTTCATTCTCAAAGTTATCTTCCTCTTGCATTTTAAAAACTCTTCTAAATAAGTGTAATTCATATGCAAACAGTAATCACTTATCCATTATTTTACTGATATATTTTTAACTTTTTCTGTTCATAGTGTTTTTCTTAAGACAATGTTGTTTAAAAGATAAGCGGAGGCATATTAAGAATTTTGAATCTGAACAAAAATTTATTCAAACCGGGCAGCAGCAATCGAAGTGATTAGGAGGGCTCAACTGACCGAAGCTAAAGGCGAGGTTTTTATAGACAATAGGCAAAGCGAAGCAATTATCTAATTGGCTATAACTTAAGTGGTTGCATTATTTGGGAAAACCTAGTTGGCTGTTTGTGACTGGTGGTTCTTATCCTTGAGGCATTTACAGGAATTGACTCTGGCTTAGGTTTTGGTTTCCTTCCTAGGCTACCAAGTATCAGAGTCATCTCAGTCTAATGGCCTTCTCATTTGATTACTTCCACAATATGCTGAGAAAACCTCTGCATTTTTATCCTCTGTTAAGATTAGTTCCTTCCTGCAGATAGTCAGCAAGTAAAACATTTAATCTACTTCTCAAGGTTTCTAAATAGCTAAAATGAAATCATGTTCTGAAAACTGTGCTATTAAAGTATAGGAAATTGTTATGCATTGTTAAATAGATTTCCCAAGTCTAGTAATTTAGAGACATTTATTGAATGTAAACTACTTGAATGGGATTTTAAAATGATACTAAGGCTGTTTAAAAAAATAAGCTTTGATACCTCATTCATATTATCTGAGAAGTTCCCTTTAAAAATGGAGGCTGACGGAGAAATTGAAAATGGATATCACTTGTGGACTGTATGGCTATCATTATTGTATGTAATTTTCATTTNCTGACGGAGAAATTGAAAATGGATATCACTTGTGGACTGTATGGCTATCATTATTGTACATAATTTTCATTTGTTTTTTTAGATGTTTTTCCTCCCCACCCACCAACCCCTTTCCATCCTTTAAGGTGAGCTTAAGAGCAGAATGGCACGATGGAAAAAAGAAATGAAAAATTTTAGTAAAGCTAGTATATTGTTAAGAACACTAAATACTTTTTTATACATTACTGGTTTAAAGCATATACTGGGAGAATCTTTCTAGAGAAGAATTTGTCAATGTAATTCTATACAGAAATTTAAAATGATGCTTGTGGAGATTTTGGTCACAGAGGTTTGGGTTTTTGAGATTTGTTAAGTTGGAAAGTAAATAGTATACAAAATCATATATATATA